TAGGGAAAGACCTAAGAATCTTCCTAACCAGCTTTTCTTCTGATATATTTTCTCCCAAGGCACTAAAGGTATTAGCTATTTCAAGAACATTCATGTGAAATTCATGAATACTTTCATCTTCCCTCGTCTTTAGATTTTCAAATTTGGTAGTGAGCAGCTGGAGTCTAGACATTTTTACCTTGGATGTTCCTTCATGAGGTTTCTTGAGAATTTCCCAAGCATCCTAGTCATAGTACAAGTGTTGGTCAACCTAAACATGTTCTTGTCAACTTCATTGAATAGATCATTCAAGGCTTTGGAGTTTCTAAGAGTAGTCTCATCTTCCTCCTTGGTCCAATTCTCTTCTGGCTTTAAAGTCTCCTTTCCATCCTTATCTTTATCTTTAACCATATGATGCTCTCAACCCTTGATAATAACCTTCAAAGTTTTTCTATCCATAGATTTTAAGAAGGCCATCATACGTGCCTTCCAATAGTCATAGTTAGTGCCATCTAAGATAGGTGGTCTATTCACATTTCCTCCTTCTTGCTTGTCCATAGTACCATAATGAAAACTCCATGAAGCTCATCCAAAAATAAAATAGGATGACCTGCTCTGATGCCAATTGAAATTCTTGGCACGTAGATACCAGATGTCGAGATAGATGTCACAAAACAGGGATCAAAACAATTTGATCACACAAATAAAAATTGCAGAAACTTAAATGACATAACAGTAAAATAACACCAGTAGTTTTTAACCCAGTTCGGTGCAACTCACCTACATCTAGGGGCTACTAAGTCTTGAAGGAAATTCATTATGATAGTATTAGTTCAAAGCTAAACTCTCATGTTTACAACTTCTCGCCTAATCCCCACCTTCTGCAACTTCTACCTAGACACCCTCTAGATATGAGATCCCCTATCACTTCCTAATCAGTCACAATCTCAGTGACAATTAAACAACTACCACAAATAGAAGTACCAACCCTTCCAAGTACAATACTTGGTTTTGCTTAAAAGCTTCAACCAAGAATAATAAACTCTTACTTAAAAGCTTTAGAGTGGACAATTAACAATGAACAATCAATCAACCTCAATGCATCAGAAGATACATGAGTGACATACAATTAACAAGCACTAAACCCTAAAGACCAAACAAAACAGGGGTAATCATAATGCTTCAATCTTCACGTGATGTACACCTACAATATGGTTAGGTCTTCTCTTTAAAAAGTCTTCTATCCATTTGGGCGTGGGCTCTTGAAGCGCAAAAAGACCAGGAATCAGCTTTAAATCATAAGCATAATCTTCTGCACAAAAATAGGAAAAAAAATACAAAGTTTCCTAAAAAGGATCCTTGATCCTTTTTACAAAAACTAACATAATCTGTCAAAACATAAATTTCCACAACATACTCCCATGAATAACGCAAACATGTGAATTAGAACATACTTAAAAATTACACTAAAAATACCAAAATAGTCATGCCCTAACTTTCTGGTATAGCATGTCCTGAGACATGTCACAACATCATGCTAGACGTGATGTCTAACTGTCATGGCAGAATATCTGGTTTAACATCTTGCTAATAGCATGTTGTTTTACCAAAATATTGTCAATCCAAAAGTCACAGAACTTACAGGCTTTTACTCTTTAATTCTTCTTAAAAGGTATGTTACCCAAGGCAATATTAAATGTGTCAATTTCTATAATTCTTTTTATAGTACCGAGATTACATGTGTGAATTATGCGCGCTTGTTCTAATAAATAATTGGTTCAAAGCTTGTCTACCAATCTATTCGGGGATGAGTGAAAATGTAATTTACTAAGTAATGATTCAAATCGTAAGATACCATTATCTAAAGCCATGACATTTTCAGAAATTTGAGATTTAATTATATTTTATAAATGGTGGGGGATTGTAAGAGATTTCTAAAATATTTTATAAATGGTGGGGGATTGTAAGATATTTTATAAATGTGTTGCTAAAAATATTAGCAATTAAACAATGTGGCTTAGTGGCAAAAGTAACAGGTACAAGGATCAAAGACGCGACCTTCCAATAAAATGTTAGCGCCCTTGCCAACTGAACCATTACGTCTGCCTGATATTTTAATCAACATTAATTAATATAAACGTTATTTTTCAGGCGCAGATTTCCATTTTCTATAAGTTGTCTCTCTTCACCAAATGACACAAACTTAACTATAAATAAGTGATACTTGGGAAACAAAAAGGAGACACGAAAATAGAAATATTCACATCCATTTTTTTACCATTTCAATTGTTCTAAAATCAAATTTTACTTTATTAATGCATGAGTGAAGTATAGGAACATTTTCTGTAAACTGTTATCAAAAGATAAGTTTAGTGTGTTTGTGCAATTCACATTAAGGTATTCAAAGTATTCTGAAGGGAATTCGCCGTTAATCCTTATTGCATCCAATATATAATAATTAGTAGGGGCGAATTGAACCTAAAAATTAGTGTGAAATTCACACGCTTTGATTTTTCAAATACAATCTTCATCAACATCTTCTTTATTTAAGTGCTGTTATATATTTCCAACAACCATAATATCCAAAAAGAAATTCGTCCTTCTAAATTTCGTGTAAAACATAGCTTTTTTTTCCAAAGAAAAGTAACATAAGCAACCACTTTATAGTCAAACAAGTAAAAGTGGCACGTGGACTAGTGTTTAGAGAAAATATGACTTAGAGCATCTCCAACGCTGGTTCGCCAGTATAGCATGTTTATTTTGCATAAAATATTCACTTGAATGTGCTATGATGCAGTGTGAAGCAACAAATTGATGCCTGAAACAACTGTACGGACTTTACATAACACATATATTTAATGTTTGTTTGTTATTAAATTTTTTCAATATAAATAAAATATGTGTAATGCTATGACACAAATTAAGAAACACATTTATAGTAAATTTGTATTGGACACATTAATAAAAAAATAAATTTTATATTTTTATTAAAAGCAGTACACAATTTTTAAGATTTTATTTTTAATTTTAATTCTTAATCTATGCCCTTAAGTTATTAGTTAGCATTATCCATAAAATATTAATATTTGAGGTAAAATTGTGGGATCCATATTAAGTTAATTAGAGTTGCACCTTTGACCTGAAAAATTAAATGAATTGTTTTAACTTGTCGTGATTTAATGGATACTAGAAAGAATCTAAAAGTGAGGAGCACCATTATTAGAGATGCACTTATAGTTGTTGGTAATGGTGTCTATCATATGCACTTACGTCACCATGCAAGTACCCTTCATTACGTTTCTTTGACTACGTTTTATTTAACAGTCAAAGTACTTTACAAAGAAAATACAACTTTTGCCTCGGATGACACCCTTAAATTACATGCCATATTGACTACTACATATATATATATATATATATATATATATATATATATATATATATATATATATATATATATATATATATATATATATATATATATATATATATATATATATATATATATATATATATATATATATATATATATATATATATATATATATATATATATATATATATATATATATATATATATATATATATATATATATATATATATATATATATATATATATATATATATATATATATATATATATATATATATATATATATATATATATATATATATATATATATATATATATAAGAGATTGATTTTGCTATAGATAAAAAAATTTAATGGCCTATTACATAACAAGAAGTTTGATATTTAATATTTTATTTTTAAAATTTTGACAATATTTTTTTAAATGATTATTTTACAATAGTTTTCTAAATATTTTTTTTTAAATATGATGAAAAGAGCAGTTAAATGGATTAATTTTATAATCGATGAAAAGTAAATACTAAGAGAAATCAATTCTAATGATTTAATTAAATAATTTTTCATCTAAAACACTCATTACAATTTAAATAAAAATACATTAGTTTTATAAAAATATTTATATTATATTTAAAAAATTTAATTTTAAATTTTATCTTAGACCTTAAAATAAAGTTTCTTGAATGGCACTAGGACTGTTTCCGGCCAAAGGTCCCATACTAGATGAAAATCTGGTAAGAGGTACGTGTGTGGTCAACCCACCACAACATCTAAAATGGCTAGTTTTCAAACAAGGGTGTGCCATAATTTTCTTTTGGAGAATTGATTTTTTTTAGTTAGATGTACAAAGCCTCTTTGACCATACTCCTAACTTAATGTAAGGTATTGATTATTTTAATCGGTCGTAAAAAACATCTTCGAACATTCTGAATTTTTGGTGATGATTGATTACTTTAGCCGCTCCTGATCTTTTAACAGCGAAGTGGTTATGGTAGAAATTTTACAAGAAAAATTATAAAATTATGATTTTCCTTTAATTTCTTTTAATTATATATGTATGCTTATAGAAGTGTTTCAAAGAAATGGAAAGCAAGAAATTCTTCCTCCTAAATTTCGGGTAAAACATAGCTTTCCCAAAGAAAAGTAACATAAGCAACCACTTCACAGTCAAACAAGAAAAAGTGGCACGTCGACTCCACTATAGTAAACATTGCTTCTTGAGAAAATATGATTTAAAGTAGTTGGTAATAGTGTCTAGCGTATGCACTTACGTCACCATGCATGTATCCTTCATTACGTTTCATTTAACAGTCAAAGTATACAAAGAAAATACAACTTTTGCCTCTGATGACATCCTTAAATTACATTCCATATTGACTACTACTTACGATTTGCCTATATATATATATATATATATATATATATATATATATATATATATATATATATATATATATATATATATATATATATATATATATATATATATATATATATATATATATATATATATATATATATATATATATATATATATATATATATATATATATATATATATATATATATATATAAACACATGTCTATGATTGTTATAAGCTTAAATAGAGAAAAATCAGATACAACTTTTCACAAACTTGTTACTCATACAATGTCAAAAACAACACACATAGCTGTTATTCCAAGTCCTGGTTTCAGCCACTTAGTCCCAATAGTAGAATTCACCAAAAGATTACTCACAAACCACCCTAATTTTCACATCACTTGCATCATTCCCTCACTTGGCTCACTACCAGATTCATCAAAATCATACCTTGAAACAATTCCACCTAACATAAACTCAATCTTTCTTCCACCAATCAACAAACAAGACTTACCTCAAGGAGCATACCCTGCAATTCTAATTCAACAAACTGTAACACTCTCTCTACCGTCAATTCACCAAGCCTTAAAATCTTTAACTTCAAAAGCACCTTTAGCTGCTATAGTTGCTGATCCCTTTGCTTTTGAAGCACTGGATTTTGCAAAAGAGTTTAACTCTTTGTCTTTTGTTTACTTCCCTTGTTCGGCTTTTGTACTTTCACTTGTTTTACACTTTCCTAAACTTCATGAACAAGTTTCATGTGAATACAAAGATTTACAAGAACCTATAGAGTTACAAGGGTGTGTACCAATCAATGGTATTGATCTTCCAACACCAACACAAAAAAGATCAAGCGAACCTTATAAAATGTTTCTTCAACGTGCAAAAGCTTTGAATTTTGTTGATGGAATCCTTTTTAATAGCTTCTTTGAATTGGAATCAAGTGTTATAAAAGCATTGGAGCAAAAGGGTCATGGAAAAATCAGTTTTTTTCCCGTGGGACCCATTACACAAATAGGGTCATCTAATAGTAATGGTGAATGTTTGAAATGGTTGAAAAACCAACCACAAGATTCTGTATTGTATGTTTCATTCGGAAGTGGTGGAACACTCTCTCAGAAGCAAATCAATGAGCTAGCTTTTGGTTTGGAGTTGAGTGGTCAAAGATTCATTTGGGTTGTGAGAGCACCAAGTGATTCAGTTAATGCTGCTTATCTTGAAGCTACAAATGAAGATCCTTTGAAATTTCTACCACAAGGATTTTTGGAAAGAACCAAAGAAAAAGGTTTGGTTTTGCCATCATGGGCACCTCAAGTTGAAATACTTAAGCAAAATTCAGTTGGTGGATTTTTAAGTCATTGTGGTTGGAATTCGGTTTTGGAGAGTATACAAGAGGGGGTGCCAATAGTAGCTTGGCCTTTGTTTGCAGAACAAGCAATGAATGCTGTTATGTTGAGTGATGGTCTTAAAGTGGCACAAAGGTTGAAATTTGAAGATGAAGAGATTGTGGAAAAGGAGGAAATTGCAAAGGTGATTAAGTGTGTGATGGAAGGTGAAGAAGGAAAGGGAATGCGGAAAAGAATGATGGATTTAAGAGATTCTGCTGCTAATGCACTGAAATATGACGGTTCTTCGAGACAGGCTCTATCTCAGTTGGCTAGGAAATTGGGAAGTTTTGGTGGGAATTAGAAAAGTATAAATATTGTTCTTATTTCTTAAAAGTCTGTTTTTTCAGTTGATTCAATTTTCAATTTTCAATTTTCTTCCAATGTAATGAGAAATATTAACTTTAAATATTCCTCAGCTCTCTATCATTCAAATAACTTCTAGTTAGTATCCATGCTGCAACGGCTGCTATACATGTCCTAGTCTTGCTTATGAACTGATTCTACAACGTTTAGTTGTATCTAATTGGCCTCACAAACTAAAATTTTGAGTCATTATTCGGTTGGTGGGTTTTTGACTCATTGTGGTTGGAATTCAATGCATGAGAGTATCGTGTTGGGTGTGCCTATGATTGCTTGACCTTTGTTTGCTGAGAAAGAAATGAATGCGGTTTTGTCATGTGATGGAGTTAAAGTTGCAATGGGGTTAAACTTTGTTGAGGATGGTTTGGTTGAAAGAGATGAAATTGCTAAGGTGGTTAAAGTAATGATGTTGGATGATAGAGAAAATGAGATTAGTGAAGAGTTAAAAGATGGTGTTGTTGATGCTTTGAAAGATGATGGATCAAATATAATAAATACAACAAAAGTTGTTTTTTTAAATAGACTAAAGCAAACACACATACGAAAGACACTATTCAACAAACTCCTCTAAGAGTGCGAAATTAAATAGCAAAAAAATTAGTCTTATGTGAGCTTTCACTTTTCAAGAGGACAAACAAACCAACCGCCTATATATATTGATTCACAAACCAACAACTTTTGCAAAAACAATTTGTGATCGTGGTTAAATCATTGTTATTTAAAAGACTCTTCCGAAAACTCTAAAAATGACTCAATTGGTTTTCGATCATCGTGCAATGAGCATTAACCAACCATATCAGTTGCCGCAAAAACCTAATTGTCAGAGTTAAGGGAACCAAAAAGCAACGACAATGTAGTTTTTTATTAGAGAAGAACCAAAAATCACCAACACACGTCGGTGACGCCGTTCAGAGAGCAACCACGCAGAGACTATAGGAAAGACAACTCCAAGGGTAAAAGGGAGGTGTGGAGAAAATACCTCATCACACCTCCAGACAACTTAGCTGCATGTTGAATCAAAAAATTTGGATTTTGAGTGAGAAAAAGTGGTGGGTGGCAAAAGGGTTTTGCTCGTGCTTGGTAATAGATTGCAAAGCCTTGTGAGTAGGGCTGGCAATGAACCAAACCAACTCGAAGATAGTTCGGAATTCGACTCGACAATTAAATCGTTGAACTAGGTTCATGAACCAAATGAGTTGAGTATGAGCGAAAAATTAAGTTCGTTAACTAAATGAGTTGAACTTGAACTATACATAGTTCGACTCGTTAGGTTCATGAGTCAACTCGATTACATATGAAAAGAATTATATTGTCTTTAAGATTAGGTTTAAATATTTACTTCAAATCTTAGACAAATTTAATCTTCAATTTAGTAGTTTTTAAATTAGACTCTCAAATGTATCTCTTGAAAGTTGTGTAGGTTTTAAATTAGTAGATTTCGAAGATAAAGTTAAATTTCAATATGATAACTTTTATTTTATTTTAATATTTTATTTAAAATATATATATTTATTTAAAATGTCAAATATACTAAAAAATATATATATTTTAAAAAATAGTTTTTAAGTTCGTGAACCATGTGAGCTGAACCTAATGAGATGGACCTAACGAGTCGAACCGAACTGTTCGTGAACTTATAAGGAGTCGAGTTTGAGCTTAAAAAAAAGTTCGTGTCGAACTCGAACTTGAACTCGAATTCGAACAATTCTTAACGAGTCGAGCCGAGCTGAGGTGAGTTCGACTCGACTCGACTCATTTCCAGCCCTACTTGTGAGAGATTTTTTAATATGTTATTGGATTTATAGCAATAATAATTTATTTGAAATAAATTAATTTTAATTAAACACAAATTAAATATAAAATAGTTTATATCTTTTCTATTTTAGAAAATATATATTATTTGATAAATAATTTATCTTTGAAAATATTTTCTTTCTAATATATTTATTTGTGATTTTGGAAAGACCTTTCTAGTTTAAAAAAAGGGGAGTGAACTAGGATATGTATGTGAATTGGATGGATCTTGGTGCTCTTTTGCTCAGATTCGGGGTGGGGGTAGTACGTAATAATCTAACATCCAAGTTAAAGATGGTTGTAAGTGAGAGGTTTTAGAGTTAAAATAATGTGTACTTGAGATTGATATGTGATGTGTCTTTATAGTCGAGTTTTGTAATTTTTAGAGGCCTAAAATATTCTATTTGCTACTGTTTTATGAAAGAAAAGGTGTCATAGGGTCCCTAAGAATAGATATAACGGTCCTTCCATCAGGGACTTCTCTAATCAGGTGTCTTGTGAATGACCATCTTAGGTTCTACGTTAGTAAAACCTTATTTGTGGATAACTTCTATAAAGAAGTGATGCCAGCAAGGTGACGTCAATAATAATTGATTGTCACTGGGGAGATCTCTCAATGGTTATTACCACCTCAAGTCATTCATCGTTGTATATCTTTTGGGGACCTTGTGGGGTCCATTAAATAGGTCAGGAGAAAATTGTTCAAGGCTTTTTGTTTGGTGCCTTAAAATGATGGATCAAGGTGGATTAAACCTTGGTCAAGACCAAAATAGTAGTTCAAAATTAAGTGCTGGGAAACTCAGATTATGGTTTGTACATTGTCCTTAAAAGAAAATAGGTCACATTGGAATTATAAGTTAGTTGGGGTTTGTTCTTACTATGTTTAGTCCTTTTTCCATGTATGAAAAATATCTTTATCCCCAAGTGTTTTTGGATGGCGGTAGAAAGACCCAAGCTTTTTAATAGACGGTCATGTATACGGAAAACTAGTACTTTGGTTGGATAATGCCTTGTATGATTTTTAAGACATATGGTCAATCATCCTTTGTTTCATTGCCTTCCTCTTGAAATTGAAGTGACCTTATCAACCATCTCTTGACTTGTGGTACACTCCCTTGCCTCCCACGTAAATAATAGGCTAAGGGTAGGAATGTTAAGTTAGTGGACACGTTTAATGTTTTTCTTCAAAATTGAGGAGTGGGGGAATTAATATGTGATAATTTATGCCATAAGGCTCTTAGTTACTAGTACCTTACTATCTTTGAGTTTATAAAGTCGTATTTATTGAGTTGATCTCTCGGGCTTCATGGTCCAAAAGGCTTCTATAAAGAATTAGTATTTATCTTTTTATATCTTTTCTCTTTCTTCTTCATTATAAAAGCGTTATTAACTTATATGTAGTTCATGTGATGTTTATGTGGCTTTCTAACACTTTTTCCATGTTTGATTTTATTTTTGCTACTCACAGACCTTATAAATTTCTTGGGATAATTCCATGACCACACTTCATTTCAGAATCTGTCTTATTGGTGCATTCCTTTCTCTTTATGTTTCTTGGCTTGTTTCCTTTATGTGCAACTTTGTCGAATGGTGGCGTGATGCCCTTTTATGGTGATAATCTTTGTTTATTGGGGGTTTTATGCCTCACTATGGAGGTGATGCTTCTTGGAATCACATGGTCTCCAACCCCCACCTTCTTAATAGTTCTTTCAATCGTGAAGAACTTGCTAATGTGTGTTTTAGTTTTTTTATGCTAGGTGGAAGAAAATGTGTCATAATGTACCACATTCTCATTCCTTTTGTAGATATGTTGGCATGGTTAAGGATCTTGGATTTCCTCTTGGTGGTCCTATTTTGATTCCTAAGATATAATGTTTTAGGAATCTAATAGACCTTGGGTATCTTGCCTTGCAATCGATTTATTACATCTAGTTGGAAAGCATTTTTTAAATTCTTATCCACATTTGTGGAATCCTACCATGTGGGTTTTAGATTCCCTATTGGAAGACCATATCTTAGAATGATACCTTATTTGCATTTTCCTCACGTACGATGTTATAATTCAAAAATACAGGCTTCAATAACCTTTTACTATGTTCGAACGTTAACTTTAATCCGAGCTTATATCTGGCTCCTTCTAAATTTTCCTCTCCGTTTTTCAATATTAGGAAAATAATATTTGACGGGGAATTTTTTTTATTGACACTCATATAGGCCCATAAAGCATCATGAAAATGCTTGGATTAATCCTTCTTGAAAGGATTCATCAATTCGCTTGACTTTCCTAATAAAAGTTTCAACTTGACCACTACATTGTCGATGGTAGGCTGTGGAAAACCTAGTGATTTACACCATGTTTGGGCATAAAATCCTCAAAAAATTTGTTACATAAATAAGCCCCCTCATTGCTATCTATTTCTATTGGTGTGTTAAATTTGTGAAAATATTCTTAACTAAAAACTTGGTTATGCTTTTGGCATCATTTGTTAAATAAGTCCCCTCATTTCTATTTATTTCTCTTGGTGTGTTAAACTTGTGAAAATATTCTTAACTAAAAACTTGGTTACACTTTTGGCATCATTTGTTAGTGATTTCACAATTTCTGTCCATTTTGAAACATAACCAACAACCACACGAAAATGTTAAGATTGTCAAAATATTGGAGAAATGGTCTCATGAAATCAATGTTCATACATCAAACAATTCAACTTCTAAAATACTAATGAGTGACATTTCTTATTTCATGGTGATATCCCCCACTCTTTGTCATGTATATACTTAAAGAATGAATCTCAATAGTAGCCGGATTGCAATAAAGTTTCTCATGCTCTGGTCCCTCCAAAATATCCTTCACGAGGTGATGAGCGGCAAGATCATGATTTGATGTGTCTTATTCTGATCAACACATTTCCCCGAAAACTAATCAACACACTTATAACATGACTTATCCAAAAAAGAAATCATACGAGTATGGGAAAATATCTCCCTTTGTTGTAAGTTGAATTCATGGCGCACATACACTTACTAGTTAGTTGACTAAGTCACCATACCAAAGTATCATGACACTTGACAACACCAATAATTTTCATCAAAATTTTTCTCTCATGTTCAATTTATCATGACTCTGAACTTCGTATAGAAAACTTG